ACTTGTTAGATACAAAAAATTATAAACACCACCCAGAATCATTCTATACAAGTCGTCCACTAGATGAATCAATTCAGGAAACTGAATTGTTAAATTGTTCGTCAACTAGATCACACCAGGATAGTAATCTTCCTAACTTATTAATCTCAAAATATATTGGGTAATGATTATTTATTATTGTTTGTTATTATTATTATTATTATTTATTATTATATATAAAATCATGTATTTTTCTCTTAGTTGAATAATACAAAAGATTATCTTTTATTATTTAATTTTTCCATTACATGTTTGCAATTAAGTACCAAGAAAACAAATGGAAACATCCCAATTTCCTTTTATTTTATATTATTATTTATTTAGATTATATATTTTATTTATATTATGTTATATTTATTTGTAAAATATCAACAAAAGATAACCTTGGTTGTATAAAAAAAGGAAGCCATTTTGGCCTTTTATAATTTCCATTTGTACTAATTATTGTATTAAAAATCAATTTTTCAAATTAATAAATATACATTATAGAATAAAAACATTGAAACGAAGGTTATGAATTATTTAGGAGCTCGGATAATTGTAAGGTAAGAGAATATGTAAATATGACCATATGTACAAAGAAAATCTTATAATTTCCGGAAATTTATAGCACTAGCACTAACATTGCGATAACAATAACAATAGAAACCTATCTATATAGTTTCGGTCCTCTTATGTAAATTTTATTGATATACTAATTTTCTAACAGGCATATATCAATTTAAATATAGGTCCTAATTGTTCTGTTTACCGAATACATATTAACACGAGCCAATTATGTTATGTAAACCTTATACGAAGAGCTACTACTCCTTAACCAAAATATTATAAAAATTCCTAAATAAAGTAATTTATATTTGATATTATTGTCATGCACAACAGTACCAATCCTCCACCATTTTTAATAATTAAATGAATTGAATAAACGTAAAACCAATCGCATTATAAAGTTTTGACTGTAAAGTACTTATGTATAACGTTACACCAAACATTCTCAGCATGAATGTAGAATGAGAAAACGTTCAAATAAAAAAATGATTATAAAAGGTTAAATTTATTACTTTTCTGTTATCAAAATTTTTTATAAAAACGAATAATTATAAAATAATTAAAATTTATAATAATAATAACAAGTAAAATAAATAATTATAAAACAAAAAATGACTTATAATTATCAGCAACAACAAAATCAGAATGGTCAGCAACCCCAACAAATTCAAAATCTTGACCAAGTTTTTTTTTGGCCAATCCAAAACACCAATCAAAGTTTTCAACCAATTCAAAATCCCGACCAACATCATCATCTTCCTCAACAGCAACAAAATTTCAACCAAGATTATGATCAACCGAACTTAGATCAACAACAAAAAAGTTATGCTCGGCAAATTCAACAGCAACGAATTCAAAATTACATCCTTCAAAGTTATGAACATTATAATCAAAATAGAAACAACAGAAACCATATGATTACTCCAACTCAAGTTTTATCACAACAACCACAGAAACAGCGACAAATACCATGCGTTAAAGAAAACTCGTCTACGCCATCACCTACAATTTACAATGATTGCCTAAATTTAAATATTCCTTCGTCCAATATTCATTATGGCATCAATAGTAATGATGGTGATG